CTCTCAAACACATAGCTAAAATCATTCGGTGACTGACCTCTTGTAGAAGGCAAAACCATACACACTCCACCATACCCAGACATCGTGGTTTGCAAGAGTACTCCACTTAATTCTCGACGCACCTGTTGAGCTCCATCAAGAAACCACGAACTTATACCCAATTAAAACAATTCACATGAGTGAAGGACTTATCTTTTTATGGGACACCAAACAAACCGGCATACCAATATATTTACACATGCCTGGGTTAAGCAATGAGCGAGGCTGATTTGTTAACCGGTCTTTCGTTTTTCAATATTCGTCCTGGACAACGCTCTCCACTGTTTATGAGCATTAATATTCGCGAAGTTAGGCTAGAGGAGGACGTATTGAAATTACAACGACTTAAATAGGCTGCTCCACTGTGACGTTCAGAAAGCATCCTAGTGTAAAACCTCTGACTGTGTACGCCTGATTTCATGGAGTCCAGTGGAAGTTCGTGTTTTGGAGTGCACACCGCAGAAATATTTCTATTCTTTTTGGGTTGTAGAGCAGAAAGGTTTAAAACGGGAAGTTTCTATTATCAATCCTTGACACATTATCAGAAAAAAAATGAGACACACCAAGGGTTGCCAGAATAGGCACCAAACAACATGACAGTGCTTAAGATCACTTACCCCAATTGGAAGTGCCGCAGTACCATGTGCAGTACCGTGAAATCAGTTGAGCTCAAAACGAACATTGTTTACACAAAGCATTTATAGATTCCCTGCACTACACGTTTGTGGATAATGTTCTATAATATAGGAATAATGTCTATATATTATGCAGAATCTGAAACTCAAAAAGATAATCTAAACATTTGTGTGTAAAAAATATAGTAATATTTTGACCCAATTTGCTGATGTCCTTTAGTAGGCGCAGCCGTTGCGGCTTTTTTTAAAAAAGTAAAAAGCATTACTAGCGATGGCCATCTAGGCTTCGGATTTTGAAGTCACTTTGTTGTTGAGTTTCAACGTGAGAAATTTTATACTATTCCGTAACACATGCGCTTGCTTTTTCATTACTGAAAGCATTTGCTTATCCCGTGACGCCTTGACTTGTGCAGAAAGGTGTCCAATAGATAATGATCTGTCGATCATATCAGCTCGGTTACCATAATCACTTGCTCGCCTAGCCAGCTCCGCGTTTTCCTCGCGCAAGAGGCGGAGCTGGTTGCTGATTTTTCTCATTTTATTTTTATTGACTGAGTTCATATTTGTCGGTGCTTCCCCATCTTGCGGGGATCTAGGAGACTGAGCAGGCGGATGATTGAGGTACTGGCACGAGGCGAGCTCAACCTCAGCAGGCGGTGGCAAATGGGTTGCTGGGGAGAAAAACTTGCTCTGTGAGAGCTCCCGAGCGCCCTGTAAGAAGACCTCAAGATTTTTATGTTTTTCTTTCAATAAGCTTTTTCTCTTGCGTTCAAGTGTTGCGCATGTCGCTCGCAATGAGAACAAGCGATCATTTCGTGCACTAAGACGCATTTCATCAGTTTTTACAGCTTCATCAAGGTGTTGATTTTGAATGCGCAAGTTTCGCAATTCTTCTCTCAGACTGTTTGCTGCCTGAGAACGAAGCTCGGGGGCATCGTTGTTATTGTTGTCCATCAATAAGTAAATACTTTCAAGGTTTGTGCATATTATTCTTGCTACGTGACTCAACTAAATTAAGAAAAAACATGAGAGTATCAATTTCAGTGTTTTCTCTACTTAAAATGGAGTGCATTTGAAAGTTACAGACTCATAAAAAACGTTGATCTCTTTTTACTTATTTTTAAATTTCAGAGAGTAGGACGTTTGATTTTCACTTACCTTTTGCTTGGACTTCCGTTATCTTTTAATGATGATTTAACTGAACCGTAGCTTGGTTGCGTGTGAGGAGTATCAATGGGGTGTGCAATGGGTACTTTAGTGTGCTATATCTCGAACTTATTCAAATTCCAAGGTTTCAGTTCTGCCCGATATTTTTCGTGAGGTAAAGAATGGTTAATGATACCTAAATGCTATCCTTTTCTTTATTTATGAAAAGTCATAATAAATGCTCACTACTTCATTGACAATAATTCCCAGTCCCGTGCGACGTGAACACGCGGAAAGGGAAAGTGAAAATAGAGCCAGAATCATACTTCATTGATGACCTATCACTTTGAATCTAAAAATATCAAACAATGGGGAAAATTTTTTACAAAGATGAAATAATATATATAGTTCATGAAACTAATGTTTGGATATTCCTATGGGCAGTTGAACACAATAGTTTTCAAAAACATAGCACTAGAATCCGTTTTTTTCCTACAGATATTTATGTTTACTACTCTGATGATGTATACACTAACAAAAAAAAAATATTTTCATTGACAATGTTGTTTTATAAATGGAGACACCTGGTGCACAAGGACCATCAATCTCTTTGCCCCCAGGTCCATTTTCGAAAGGATCGCTTAGACTCCTCGATCGGTATAGACCCGATATTATCCTTTGATAGATAGGTCACCGTGGAAGACTGTGGTGTGTTGATAGACAGAGCCGTGTGACCAACTGAGACCATATCGCATGGCGCATTTCTATTTTTTTCTTCTGCCTTTATCAGCGCATTCATGCTCCAAACCAGTAAAAACTTACCACAACTGGCCGTGACGCAATGTTCTCCAGTGGATGTATCAACATCGAATTTGGCACTCGTAAAGCGCACCTCATCCATACTTTTCATTTCTTCAATTTGTAATGCAGATGGAAGCAGACGCAGAGGTGTCGGTTTGTGCTTTCCCATCCTGGTTTTAAACCCGTCTGCTTCTTTGCCGTCATTGTCCAGGTATTTGGTATTGATAAGCAGAATGAAATTCTCACAGGTTGCCAGTATATGACTCCCGTTAGCCGTGATGTCGAGTGAGAGGATAGGGGTTTTGGTATCCAAGAGGGTTTTTGCGGTTTTCGGAAAGTGACCGCCCCCGGGTTTGCGCGATCCCGGTGGCCCAGTGTAGAGGCGAACATTACCAATCGAATCACCCGTTGCGAGGTGACCAGCCTTGGATGTGGCATGACATGTAAGCGGCTTTGCAGACTTCAGACTGTAGCTGTCTAAGTCTTTTCCACTCTCCAGGACCACACATGACCTGGGATCCATGCGTGTGTCTATGTTAAAGGCCACATTTGGGGCGAGACAGGTATAGACGCCGTTGCTGTTATCAGCTGTCTTGGCACTATATGCCACCGAAACGATCGACTTATTCCCTGGATTATACTCCTGTACTACTTTTCCTCGTTCAAGATCAATTTCCCCGATTTTGTTTTGTTCCCCACCGAATACCATCAGCTTGTGTTCTGTTGCATCCATTAGACTTCCTTTGATCGTTGAGTCCACACCATCCACCACAATTTTTTCAAGAGATTTCGAAAAACGACCCTTTTGGTCTTGAACTGGAAGCGCGAGCATTTCCAAGCTATTTGCATTATCACCGTGTTTCCTCAAAATGAGGGCTCGATTGAGATGCATGGCATGAGAAAAGCATATATTACCCCCTCCGGTTTGCATTTGGGAGGCCGAATTGATGTCGAAGGCATATATAGGCTTCTCGTCGTCCTCGTTGATGATGGTACGTGTATTGGCTGGGGCCATGTATTGGTACCACTCATCTGACGTATCTGGTACATCTGTCCCGGTCATAATAGCATATATACATTGATTGTACACCTCCACACAACGACTCATTACATTGACAGCAGGGAAGTCCTTGATGTCTATGAAGCGAAAGGCTAAGTCTTCAATTTTTTTGTCAATTTTAGTGGACCAGTGCACAGAGGAGTACTCTTTGCAGTACAAAAGTTCCATTTGAATGCTGATGGGCTGACTTAGCTCGTTATCATCATCATGATAGACTGTAGCCATGTACTGATTGTTGCTGAAGCGGGATTTTTTTTCAATAGTAAATTTGAAGTCACCAATTTCACCAAGAGGTTCATAGGATTCATCGCCATTTTTCCTTATCATCCTTTGGTAGAAGGTCCCATGACCCTCGAAAAGTGTTGAGACAGTTGCTTTATGCATTTTCTTTTTCGAATTTCAATAATTTTAAAGATTTCTTTGTTAATAATATTTTTGTATAAAGAATCTAATTTGAGGAGTAATGTTCAAGATACAGATAGAAAATAATTCAGAAAAAAGGACAGGAAGGAAAGGAAGTATGGGGGGTGGTAGATTTCATCATTAATCGTATCGATTTCAATTATTGCACAAATGTAGTGAAGTTTAGTATCTTGTTCCTCTTCTTTTATTCATCATCAGTCGCCTTAATAGTCAGTTCTACCATTTGAACCGGCATCGTTGTTACGCAGTTCAGGACAATTGTCTTGATAAAGGCAGACAAGTTTGGCCACACCGTCGGTCCATTAGGGATCCTATCCTCTTCTTCATGATCACCGCTTTGTTTGGCTGTGTCTGCTGTAAGATGTTGATATAAAATAAGAGCTTGTTGAAGAACTTTTGGAATCTGAATGGAGTGCTTTGAACCACCTTTCAAATTAAGTATAGATTTCGCCGATATGGAGGACAGTGTTGACTTGGTTGCGTGCTCCAACAATTGGCGCCACACGATCTCTCGCTTCGCTATCGAGGACTGTGCGGCGAGGTCAGTTCTTATCGAAGCAGGATCAAATGGAAACCAGGTATACGTCGTGTCATGTACCGGTGCCACCTCCACCTCAGACAGTACCGCAAAACAACACAGCGAGGGCCGCGCGTTCGCCGCGACCCACGCCGCGGCCGTCTTCCCACAGGCGATTACCACATCCGCCTCGTCGTGGAGGCCGGCGTTCCGCTCATCGCTGAACAGCATCATCAGACCGCCTTGCTGATCCCAAAGCACCGACGTCGGGACGGCGGTGACATGGCTGGGGTGGGGCTGGGGGGGGGCCGCCGGGCCCACCTCGTGCACGCACCACGGCGCGAAGTACTGCCGAAGGTTGGCCAAAAAGACGTCGGTGGTCCTCAGGGGTGCCCCGGCGGGGTTGCCGCGGTGGAGGACCAGCGCGAGCCGGGGCAGTCGCCCGAGGCCGCCGGCCTGGCGGGAACAGACATCCCGCACAATGGCCCGAGCCACTGCGAAGATCGGGAAGGCCTCGCCAAAGGCCAGGGGGTTCTGGCAAAACTTGCGCTGGAGCTCGGGGATGGAGGTGAAGGCGGTGGGGGCAGGGGCGTGTTTGTGGTCGGTAGGCCGCTGTCGAACTGCCGCGGCGCCAGCAAAGGCCGCGAAGAGATGGGAGGCTGCGGAGTCCGTGAAGCTGCCAAGGGCGATGCGCTCCAGTAGTGCGGGGCCGAGACGATGGGCGTCGGTCGAAAAGGGGGATGACACTGGGTCTGCAATGGGTGTGGACAAGACCGTTTGCATTAAAAGCAGCTGTTCTCTACTGGCCGGGACGAGGACTTTGTTATCTTTGAAAACCGACCCGGACACCCTCACCTTGGAGCCCGTCGTCATTTCCTCTTCGGTCTGGGGGGCATCTCTGAAGCGCACCACCAGCCGTCTCGAGGGCTCCTTCAAATGTGTTAGAAGCTTGGGGATAATTGATTCAGCTTTCACTATGGGATCAGCAGGATACAGTGGCTGCGGCGGAGTCTCGGTATCATGTACAAACAGAAGGAAATCTATCGGGGGAGCATCAAACAAGAGCCTTAGAAGATTCCACTCCCCACCATAGGAATCTTCCCGTAACATGCACAACCACACCTTACATACAGTAGAGAATGCCGAAGTAATGGCTGGAATTGGAGTTTTTCCCTGACATATGGGGACTGAGGAGTGGTTTCGACCGGGCACGGCATCGAGCAGCAATTCTGAGTCTCTTTCACTCACACCATCTATCGGCCACACAATGTGCCCCCGCAACGACATGAACACCTCAAACCTCCGCAGTATTTCGTAGTGATCGAACACACAGAGTACCACAGGCACGCCAACATACCCAATTTCACCACAACTATGCTCACCATGAAACAGTTTTGCCTTGCTATTCGTTTCCATTTCCAATCTTGAAGCGGTAAGAAGCTGATTCTCAACAATGGTATTCACCTCACGAAAAGTATTGGCAAAAAATGTGTGCTTGCTCATCGGAGGAATGTGGGTTGCGGTGAGGATACCATCCACAGGATCAATACTAGTGGCAGCAGGGTGGTCGGAGCGGGAGTCTAAAAGTGATGGTGACGTTACTGTGGGGCGGACGACGTTTTCGCATTTTTTTCTCTGCAACAGGAAATGCGGTTTGTGAATGCCCTCCTCGATGCTTGATAGTGCTCTAGTTCGTTTTTCAGCTCGACCTTCTTGAGCTCCCGCGCTTCTGGAGCTGGCGGTGGTGTTGGAAGAGTCGTCAAACAGCTCAAATTGCCGCAACCACGTGGCATAGGCCCGATCAGGGTGAACAAGACCAGCATGCACCGAATCCTGTAAGAGGTACTCTATCGGTGATTGCGGTGATTCGCAGCCATCGGCCACAGCATCGTCCCCATTTTCTTCGTCCGCCGTGTCGCCGTTCTGGATAGTCCCGCCGTCGGGCCCTGGTCTGCTATTGTGCTTTTTGCTGCTTTTGAAAAGAGCCAACCGACGTAAATATTGCGGGGGGCAGGGCAGAAGGTCAAACAAAGAAACCGCATCGTCGTCAGCCCCGGGGTCCAACAACAGGAAGGAGATGCTGGCTGTTCCGGAAGAAGCCTGAATGCCAGTTATTTCGGCCAAGGCATAGGCTGTGCGGTGCATTCGATTGGGCAGCGGCGACGAAGGATGGGGATTGATTTGGAGTCTATATGGCGCAAGCACAAGGGCGCCGACACACATATGACTGGAGTCCATTCCTCTACACTTCTCGTTCTCGAGACTGTGCCTGAGCCATAATAAAAAACTACGAGTGTTGAGCATGTTTCTACAAGGATTACCACCTGCGTGACTGGAGTGCTCATTTATCCCTTCACGCACATTAAGCGGCGGCGTTGCTTCGGACAAACCATCTGGGTTTGTGGGCATCAGTCCCAAATCCAATTAATCCGACCGATTTGTTCTTCGCTTACTATAGGGTGTTGCGTACGCCCTGCGCTCAATATCGATAATCCTCAACAACAAAAAGAAGAGGTGTGTACAGGGGGGAGGCATCGATTCAAAGAAGCAAAAAGATTGCTGTTTTCTATTGTTCACGGGTTTAAACTACTTTGTTACACCGAATGCCACACACAACACCAGGCATGCTAACTTGTAAAAAGACGTATAAAGATGTGGATGCAATCCAATGACATGTGCCTCAGCTCGCGTTTACGTGCGTGCTAGGTATAATGCAAGCATGTAAACACCAGAAGCACCGCTTTTGATGGGGTTACGTTATTTTGTTTATCTACTTTCTGAGGCCCTGTGTTTTTAAGGCATTTCTTTTTTCGGGACAAAAAACCCTAGGGAGATCCTTTCCTATGCTATACCTCTCTCTTTATGCCCATACATGCAACACAAGAAATAGCCACATGAAGGGAGACCTCCTTGAGTGAATGAGTCTCACACCTTTCTTCATGTAATAAAATACGACTTTATTCAGGAAACCACACACTAGAGCCACAAACTACTACGTCCCAGAATATAATTTTATTGGCCGATTACACCCATGGCCACACTGGCATTCAGTTAGCATAGTTCGTCCCTCGTGTGTGTGTCGTCAGGAGTACGTCCGACTTCTGTGCTTCACACCTTGCAGTCGATTTGCTCTCAACTGTATCCTGGCCTTAGCAAGGACACCGCTTCCATTCATCAGCATGTGTACACCTTTGCTATGATCCTGGTGCACGTGGCATCGGCTTCATCGGTGTAATTTAAGTTATTTTTTGGACATGCTCCTCTGAAATATTTGTCCCATATTTGCATCTGATCGGCGTCTAAAATGTGGTAAGTAACAGAATCGCGAGAAGGGATAGTGTACAGAATCAAAGGAAAATGTTTAGCTATCATTCCAGGCAGAAACCCTAAGGTTCAAGGCGCAGAACTAAGCATTTATAGGTTATGAATGATATTGCCGCTTCTATATCTTAAATACGATTACCAATAAAAATAAATTTTAACACACACGAAAAGAAAGATAATATAAGGAAAAAATATTCTTGGATCGTACTGATTCGGGAGAATTTCTTTCCAAAGGCGTCTGGCCGATACGCACAAACACAGAAGTAGCAGAACAAAGAAAAAGTAAACGTGTCGTTATAGTTATTTTAAATTAAGCAGTTGACAGACCATATTTCGTTCTTGAGGTTGTATATGTGTAAAAAGTCTATGCTGAGCGTCAGAGTCTCCTCATTGACCCAAACAATAGTTCTTTTTTTCTGGGGCCCTTCGAGTGGTTGTAGCAATAATAACATAGCATATATTGTAGAAGGCTCCTCTTAATCACCAGAAGTCTCATATGCGTTCAGCTGTCCTGGACGCACGTACAGGAGTTGGCATGAGGCTATGTTTGTGGGGTTGTAGTATTGCCCGTCGGCTGTAAGAAGAGTGGCCAGTGCCACCGCTTCCACACCATCGCCTAAGTCCACCGCACCCCCACCCTCCTGATCCATTTCATATCCTTCCTTCAACTTTCCAGAATGTAAAAAAGGGGTTTTAATGACTAGCTCAATCGTATATACATTCTGTTCTAATGCGATTTTCTTGTTCATGTTCGGCAGGTAGTTCACCTGGCGGCATATAGGACACTTATCGTGAACCTTATGATCCGTGTTCGAGTTATATCCCTCATCCATACCATATGAATGTTCGCTATCAGTGTAAACATTTTCGGTTTCTTCCTCGTGTTCTTGGTAACGTTTCACACTTTGAATACAATTCACGTGGAACCAGTGACCACAGCGCGTTCGAAGAACTGGCACTGGTGAAAGCAGGGTCTGAAGACATACCGGGCATAGTTCCTCCTCATCCTCACTTTTTCCCTCTCCCTCGCATTCTGCCTGAATTAAGTTAGAGTCAGTTGTTGTGGAGTCCGTGGTCGTTGTAGGGTGGTGCGGAGATAGTGTCTTGGACAAAATGTGGCAGTTCTGAGACCAGTTCCATGGGGGCACTGGCATCGCTTTGATTCGCTCAAAAGTTAGAGTATGATAATCTTCCGCGTTGGGAATTGAATAGTCTGGTTTTGCAGACATGTCGCTGGTGGCCTGCGACTTGTAGCACGGAAAGGCCGCGCGCATGGCCTGGAGTTGGCGTTTTTTTACAAGCCACGCCACAGGATACGCTCCGTATGGTGAAACTCCGACTTTCATAGTTATGATAAATCCTTCCTCTTTTCCCTTTGAGTGTCTACAGTGCATCCCCTTCTTTGTTTCGTCGTAATCCAGATCGGCTATGTGGGCTTTCATTATGCAGTTGTCTGTTATAGGGCTCGCCGATAGAGACCAAACCACTGCCCCAGAAAGCTTCCCATGCGCGAAGGGGCGATTCAACCGTGGATCAGGGTGCAAAGCGCGCTCCACCCGTTCAAATGCAGCTTTGTAAAAGAAAACCGCACACGGCAGACAGACATCGTAGCCGTACTTGTGTGGACGGAAACAAAACGAGTTTCGCGTGTTGCTATCTGTGACGGCCTGAAAGCCAACCTGAAGGCCATTTTGTGAGCATGCATCACACTCAAACTCGTTATCAAGTTTACTGACAAAAGGAAGGGGATTGCTAAGCTCGATACGTTTGATATACGTGCCATGCAGAATCGTAAGCTGCCCAAGCCGTGATAAGTATTCCAAGGACTTGACGGTATCGGATTTGAATAATTTCAGTGGTATCGGTGGGAGTATTTGGGACTTTTGATTTTCATCATCTGGTGCTGAGATAGGGTGGGCCTTATCCTTGTTTGATGAATCAGTAAGATTAGCACAAGTAAGTCTAAGAAAAAGTTCTACTTCATCGTCGTCGCAGTGTGGTGTGAGACGGTTAAACTTGATAAAAGGGACCTCTCCAGTGGGTTGCACCTCACACGGATAGAGCAGAGCTTCCGCTCTCTTTATAAGATTGAGGGTGGGCATATCAAGCTTTTGATCCCTGCCACTTCGAATCGTGGTGACCATCTCTCCCATTACTTTTATTTCTTCCTTAGGGCTGTTGGTCTCTGCTGCATTTGATTCCTTTCCACTTTTAGAGGTTGCACTCACTATTAAGCCCTTTTCACTGTGGGTTGTGTTTTCATCTTCTAACATTTTCACCTCACGTACCCATTTTTGGAAAAACGAAGACTCTCTGGGAGTTCTACTGTTCATAAATTCATTAAGTGTACGTCCCACTTCAGACAAATGAGCATCCTTTAAATTATCCACATTCCGCACGACCGGGGAGGGAGATGTTTGTTCATGAAGCACCGATGACTGGTATTGGCAGGGGGAAGGCATTCTCACCATTCGCGGTCCAGCCTCATCACTGTGCACACTTGACTCACTCACACTGTGGCTGTTATTGTCCGATTTTACATCCTCCTGCTTTAAGGAATGCCACTTGCCGTGCTGATATGAATTTACTAAGTATACACACCAGATAGGCTGGAATTTTGAAAACTGTGAACTTCGAGAGTTGTGATATTCTCTTAGAAGATTACGTGGTCGGGGATTGAAATTGCGCACATAGTTTATATATTCCACACTTTTCCGCACATTGTATTCTATTTCAGATTGTAATCCGCTCTGTAATAATGATGTAAGCGAAGTGAAGTAGATCGCGGCAAAGTAGGAAATAACGTGCTGAGTAGCATCTCGTTTTTGATCTTTTAGATGTCTAAGATAAGCTACAAATTCGGGGCTTTTAACCCTTCTGGAACTACTTGAACGATCTTTATCCCTTTTTACACTCCCCTTTATAGGTTCCCTCTCCAAGTCATGCAATTCAGTACTAACATGTTCACCCTCAAGACAATAGCCCGGGAGAATAACAGAGGTTCTGTTGCCCACTTGACAATGGCTTAAAGAAAATTCACATTGATGTGAAGCCTGTGCGTGAGCAGCTTTCGCGACATTTCTATACGTGGATACAAATTGATTGATGAGGTTAATCCTCCTAGACCTCATACCGCGGCAGAAGTATTCTTGTTTTTTAAACAACTCTTCTACCTCACAAAGCGCAACTTTGGTGGCAACGGTAATAAAGAAAGGAAATCTCTGGAGTTCTTCTAATCTATGGAAATTTAATCGTGCTTGTCCTTCTAATTCCAATGAATCCACATTATTGAGACGATTAGTTTCAAATGAGGGGAAATCTTTTTCGTAGATTCCTGAGACAGTATGTTCGTCACCAGTAATATTTGTAAGGGAACAAGCAAAGACCCGGTAATGGACATCAAGATAGGGTTTGTTGAAGGGAAGGGAATTTATGCGATCCAAAAATAGGTCGTAAAGACTCATATGGTAATATATTTGATGCTATGGTATATTTATCCTAGTTGGGTTTGTGTTGGCTGAAGACGCAGTAACTGTAGGGTGGGATGTATTAACAACACAACAGCTTATCTACTACGAACATTACAGAGAGAGACATATTTAGTTATTCTTCTTGTTGGCCATTACATATCCTAGATGATTATTGTAATATAATGTATGTATGTTAAGTAAAAACACATCGTTAGGAAACCATGTCTGTAAATTCCAAGAAAACAAAAGAGATTTACTTGCTTAATAAAAGGTACCACCATACCCCAAAACTTGTGATGTAGTCGTAGCAAGGGTTTGGTATATATGGAGAATATCGATTTCAACTAGGCTGCCGTTACCTGAAATAATAACGATAATAATAATAATTTGTCAGCGTGGTAAGCACAACCAAGTTATTTCGAAATCTATACGTTACATTGAGCAGATAAAAATACCGGAGTAATCCTGTAAATAATAAAAAAAAACATAATTAATAAGATAACAATGATAATAATAGTTTAATAAATATTTATACGACCCATGCCCTATTCACTGAAAAGAATAGGGAGAGGGAATTCTATTGGAGCTATCAGGAGAGAGAAATGTAGTCCCAAATAGCTTCGCTTTTTATCATTCCCAATAGAGGTCTTCACTACTCCGACAATAAGCCATAATAACCCAGGCATGGGCCGCTAGCCGATCCAAAGTACTTAAGAAGTAGACATAAACCCACACTGTGAGAGTGAACCATATAAATCGAATTAGCTCTGTTTATTGAGGTATCATCCCATCGAAAAATACCCTAGTTTTCCATATTTTCCAGTTTTGACCACATTCTGATCTCGTTCGAAGGATGGGAGGTTCTTCATTTGAGTACGCGGGGAAATCGACAAGATACCATTTGATCGAAGTGCTTGCATGTCCTTACTTCTGACCTACAAAGGGAGAAGTTCGATGATGGAAGGCCGGCCATGAGCGCAAATGTAGTATTCCCGCACACAGGACAAATCTCGCACGAGTTGTCGTACCGCATCCGGGGATAAAAGATCGCCAAACATGATCGCCCCTCGGCAGGAACGTGAGATGAAAAATCGCAAAATCGACGACGGGATTATTCGGCGCGGCGATGCGTCTGGGCCCGTTAATCCCACCGCGAGGATCTCCTCCGTCATCCGACGAAGTTCGTCGATGGAGTCGAGACGGAGGATGATGCCTTCCAGTGCGAGCCGGGGCCACTGTCGGACGGCGGTGGGGGGCTGCCGCGGTGTTTTGTGTTTATTGTTTTTTGTTTTTGCGAGGCCGCCGTACCAAAAACGCCATCCCCAGCGCCGGAGCTCCCCCTCGCAGACCGCCACGAGGGGGCGGAGTGCGGAGGGAATCGGCCCCACCAGCGCGCCGGGGAGGTCTGGAATTTTCGCCTTTTCGGCGGGTGCTATCCGTCGGGGTTCGCTCTTTTCTTGGGATTGCGCTCGAAGGAATTCGGATTGGGCGGTCCCCGCCGTTGTCCACAACGCAGAAGGCCGTATTTTATCATTCCCTTGGGGTTCGCTTGTGGAAAAGAAAGAATCCCCCCCTTGGCGAGCTTCACCGCCCTCCACCGGGCCCTGTGCCGCCGCGCAGACAAACGTCTCGGCAAACGCGCAGAAATACTCCAGGCGAATGCGTTCGTGAACGGCGTGTTGATCTAAAAAGACCCATTCTACTCTTTTCGGGGCCGAAAGGGCGGTTTCATGGACGGCGGCGGGATTTTTTTCCGCGAGGACGTCTCCTGCGGGGTGGGATGGCCCATGCCACCCCATCCCGCCCGCGTTAACCCGCATTTTTGTCCGGAAAGAACCGCTTGGAGCGAATCGATCGCGGAGTGCCCGGTGGAAGGGTTTATCATCGCCGCCTCCTGTTGTTTGTTCGCCCTTGGGGGGAATCAGGAGAATAAATTTTCGATCCCACTGCA